ATTTCAAAATAAGGTCCAGAATGAACAATGCAAACATTCCTGGCTCTAAAATAACATTTTCTTTGTTCATCAGTCACGTCTCAAAGCCCCTCTGATATTACTCTTGCTTTCTATTTTGAATTTTTATTCAAACAAAAAATAGAAGATTTACTGTTATGCAGACTGCTGCAATACTGTAATAATTGTATAAATAACATCAGCCCATTCATGACTGCATATTAGAATGGCTAGTTGGACATTTATTGGACAATGACATCATTTGTTTACTTTTGAACATCAGCAAAAATTAAACATTTCCCCTACCTTGAGCTCCATTTCCAGGTTCTTTTTATAATAAATCAATCAAAATCACCTCTATTTCTATAATATATGTTTTCCATTCTATCAAATGAGACCAAGAAAACGAGAATACAACCATAAATACTCTACGAAAATAGACCACAAAGTCGGCATTTTAATTAAAAAAATGGTCGGAGTTTTTTTTTTCTCATGCACTGCATGCTCCAGGATTTTTTTTATATGGTACACACTGACCACACAGACCCATTCTCTCACATGTGGGCCTACCAGCTTTCTCCTGCTTGATTTGAAGTCGCTAGAATTTATGAGTATATATACGTCAAACACGGTACCTCGTAAGATGTATATATACGACCTTGACAGTCAAAGGGTTAAAGATAAGGTGGCTTTGAAGCCACTGTCGGTTGCCATGAACTCAGTCTCATGAAGCAGGAGAATATGCTTTATTATTATGCTAATATCAACACTACAGCTTATTTGCCTATCACAATTGATCTAATATGACATAAGAAACAATATAAATAACATAAAACATGTTAAATACTCCAGAATGAATAATATTTGGCATAATACCGAGCAGTTCGACGGAGGTATGAAGAGGATATGGTATACAAATACCATTCTCCTATCCCTGTCTTGGGGGCTTATATTAGAGAAAATGGAGTATAGCACAGGGCTAACTGTGATATACACTCATACTGCACCATAAACCTGAAACCAAAAAGTTATTTTCTCTATATATATTATCACACATAGCAGCATGTGTAGAGAACCTAGGATAACCCAAAAAAAGTCAACATGGCTTATTTTTAGTACCTGGCTTGGGTTAGCCATAATATGATTTTTGGTAAATATTCGATTCCCAGCCAGGGTAGAAACATTAGGTGTGTTTCTTTACACCTGTTGTCTATGTTTACCCATCAGTAAATGGGTACCTGGGTGTTAGCCGACTAGTGTGGGTGTTATCCTGGGACAATGACCTAATTTTCTTGAAATACTCTGCAAAACAAGCGGCTTTCTATACACTAGTATGTCACTGATGTCAGCTAGGCCTGTATACCTTGTACATATACTGTATGTGTAGTAAATAAAGATACAGTGGTCCCTCAATTATCGTCCTTAATCCGTTCCTGGAAGTAGGACTATTATCGAAATAGATGATTTTCGAATCAATTTTCCCCATAAGAAATAATGTAAATCCAATTAATTCGTTCCAGACACCCAGAAGTATCAACAAAATTTATTTTTTTTACCTAAAAGATAGATTTACATGCACAAAAGAATGAACATTCAACATGACAGGTACCTTTATTGAAGGCTGTTGTTGATGAATGGAAGACAGGGAGGAGGAGAGAGGGAAGAGAGGTTATTGTTTGGAAGGGGAATCCCCTCACATAAGGACTCTAGGTCACTTCAGGGGTCACTTCCCTAGCATAAATATAGATTTACATCCAGAAAAGAATGCCAAATAAATGTAAAGCACTAATAAAATGTATAAATGAACATTGGTAATAGGGGTAGTTGATGAGTGGAACGGTCTGCCTAGTAGGGTGATCAAAGCTAAAACATTGAATAGTTTCAAATTTAGGTTGGATAAATACATGAGTGAGAGGGGTTGGATTTGAGTCGGACTTGCACCTGAGCTTATTGCTCGGGTACCATTTGTTCTGTTAGTGGGTTGGATTTGTGAAGGACCGGCCTAGTATGGGCCAGCAGGCCTACTGCAGTGTTCCTCCTTCCTTATGTTCTTATTGAAGACTTGTTTGTGTGAGGGAGGGATGGTAAGTTTATTGTTGGAGAATATGACATAATATCAACTCTACGGCTTATTTATCTATCAAATTAACTAATATGACATAATAAACAATATTAATAACATAGAAACATGGACTTACTCTAGAATGAATAAAATAAGTCATTACGTATGTCACAAGAGGTGTTGTGTTGTTGTTGGGTATATAAGGGCCACTGAGAGTAAGCCGTCCATAATGGTGGTGAAGCAGCAGCTGAGGTGGGGTCGTTTTCTGTAGCCCTATATAACTCCAACAACATTAGAGAGTTGGTAGAATCGCTGAATCATGAAGAATGAACCCTGTACCACCTCACTAAACCTTAACCACTATTACAAACTGTTACCACCATCACTACTACCTTCTACCACCACAACTACCACCATCAACCTCTATCACACTGCTTCAATATCACCACCACCACCATCTTTGTATTTTCCTACAATACTTTTTCATAAATTATGTGTTTTTCACATTCTTTACCAAAGGGCTGACACCTAGAAGCTTTCTTTGGAGCCAAGGTAGCTTATTTAGCTCTTGCAAGCACTAAAATCAATGGAATATTATGAAATATTTCGTAGGAGCAAGTGAGGGGACCATCACTCACTGGTAAACAATGGCACACTGGCTGGGAAGACAGGCCCAGGCAGCTCAGAGTGTGAGTACGCGTCCAAGACGCAGGACGATTAGCTAGTTAATGGACCACCTGAGAGCCAATGTTTAGACGAAATAATGGGACTATTTCCGAAATGGACGGCTTTCAGGCCGGACGATTATTGAGGGACCACTGTATTATTATTATTATTATTATTATTATTATAATTATTATTATTATATTTTCTCAGTTGTTTGTTGGGTTATCTTATTCAAACTTGGGCAATGTATGATGGAAAGATACTTCTTCACGTACACCAAAATGAAAGAAATCAGACCATAAATAGCGGAGTTCACTTCTCAGCATTAGCGGTATATTTTTGTATGGTTGTTATGGTTATATTCTCATTTTTTCGGTCTCATTTGATAGAATGAAAGATATATTACAGAAATAGATATGATTTTGATTTCTTTCATGATGAAAAGTAACTTGAAATTGCGCTCACAGTAGCGAAAATGTTTCTATTCTTTAGCGAAGCTCAAGAGTAAACAAATGACGTCACCGTCAAATACCTGATCGCCTGCCAGTCTAAATTCCAGTACGGAGTCAAGAATGGCTTGACATTATTTATACAATTATTACAATAATGCAGCAGTCTGCATAACAGTAAATCTTCTATTTTTTGTGAATAAACATTCCAAATGAAAAGCAGAGTAATACGTATAAGAGGGGCCTGTAGCCGTGACTAATGAACAGAGAAATGTTTATTTTAGTGCCAGGAATGTCTGCATTGTTTATTCTGGATCCTATTTTGAAATTGGCATCTGTTGAAATTTGTTGTGAAATCGGCCAAATTGCCAATTTTTGACCACTTTATTGGGTAGTTGAAAGAAGTGAATGGGCGGTTTCTTGTACTCAGTTGACAGACTAGAAGTAAATAGTTTATTCAGGTATACACAAATTACAGTTACATAGATTATTATACATAGCAGTGTATGTAAAGAGAACCTAGGATAACCCAGGAAAGTCAGACAAAGTGACTTATTTCCAGTACCTGGCTTGGGCTTGCCATATATGATTTTTGGTAATATATTTTTTTTTCTAGTTGTTTGTTGGCTATCTCATTGAGACTTGGGCAATGTATGATGGAAAGATGCTTCTTAACGCACAACAAAAATAAAAAAGACGGACGATAAATAAGGGAGTTAACTTCTCAGCCATTAGCCGCCTCTTTGCAGTATATTTTCGTATGGTATTTATGGTTGTTTCTCATTTTTTTGGACTCATTTGATAGAACAGAAGATATATCATAGAAATAGACATGATTTTGATTGCTTTCATGACGAAAAGTACCTTGAAATTGAGCTCAAAGTAGTGAAAATGTTCGATTTTTGCCGATGTTCAATGAACTGTATAAGTCAAGTTGGTTAATTTTATTAAGTGTATTCTAACCTAACCACTCTGTAATCCGGCATACTACAGGTCCCAATGATGCCGGATTTGTGATGGAGGACCTATATTTATAACATGTAAACCACACAATATCCAAATCTGTAAACCCTGCATTGTAATCTTTATAGAGAATAAACTTGATTGATTGATTGATTCAGTACTAGATTTTTCATACCAATGCTGAACAATTGTACTTCAGCATATAATTCTATTCTTCCACAACACTGTGAATAACTATTTTTATATTTCTATCATCTCTTAGTTTACTGAAAATCTTTCTAATCAGTTCTTTCTCATCCTTTGATAATCTTAAACATGATTATTGTGGTTCATCTTATCCTCCTGTGTGTATGGTAAGTATGTAAGTTACATAATGGAAATAAAAATTAACTGCAGATAAATAATTAGGAAGATAATGCTGAACATTACTTAATAATGAACTAATTTCAAAACAGGCATATTTGTTATAGAGATCAGAAATACTTTAGCGTATTTTAAAACTGTATAGAATGAAAAGTATTGTCATGTCTGGCAAATACACAGTACATATACACAAATATCAATAAAACTGAGTATCTATACACAGTTAATATACACACAGGCCCATGCACTGATGCACATACAGAATACAAACACAGATACATGTCTACTAGTTACAGAATCAAAGAAGACAATACTAAAGAAAATGCTACTATACAGAGACTCCATAAAGACACATTCTATAACAAAATATAATATTTTCCAAATCTTAAAAACCAAGCATATTAGTTAATAAAATGCATCAAGAACCATACTGTACAAAAACCATAAACTAGTAACTAATGGTGCTGCTTTAAGTCATCTGATACATTGAGAGCCAATACCTTTTAACACTTAATGGTGATATCCATATAAACAGGCTGCCGAAAGGAAAGAAAGAGACAGACAGATTGAATTCACCTTCAAATCCAGAGTAACACATGATTATTTACAGGCATGCACAGTTTACTCAATGATGTCTACAAGTGGTACATCAATAAGCATCCCCCAGTTCTTCATTCACATTTACATCTTCATACTACTGTACTTTCTTTAAGTGATATTACCAAGTTTTAAAACATATCTTTCCTATACACTTCCTTCACATCCAATAACTGAGTGCCCTAAGTAGCTCAATTATATTCACACAAGTTTTAAAGATAGCCTAAGACTTGTTATTTAACTCGATGTTGCAAAGGTAAACATTAATTTCCAATGGTCGCTCATCCTACAAATAAAACATTTATATCACAGTCTTCCCTAGTAGGTAATCTACACACTCTACTCTTTTACTACGTACTTCAAAAAATTAAAAAAAAAAAAAAAAAAAAAAGTGAACAATAGACATGCACCATTTTATATCCCAATATAGCTCAGCATATAGTGCAATTTGAGCTGGTTACTATATTATATTTATGAACTAATCCTACATGACTGCAAAATGAAATGTTCCAATACATAGCTCTGTAAGAGCATATTTTTAAACCCAAGAGAGGGAACTTAAATACAGTCGAGCCCCAAATTTTGTTGGCTGTTTGGGTAAACGTTTTTT